AAAAAAAAAAAAAAAGAAATAAGAAGAGAAATTTATTAGTCTACATAATAGAGAGATAACGTTTGCTTTTAAATACACGCATTTATTTTTTCTTCTTCTCCTGTATTATTATTTCTTCTGAAAGATCAGCAAAACAGTAAATGGGACAGCAGCCAGAGAAAGAATCTCTAACCTAACACAAATACGTAGTTGAGGAGAGAAAAAAAAAATTCCCCAACTTTTTTTTTCGTTACCCCCCACCCCATTCATCATCAAGAATGAGGAAATAGAACTACAATAAACAAAAGAAAAGGAAAAAAAAAAAGAGAAAAGAAACAAAGTACTATGAAGACCCACAATATTTTTTTACAGCGTCTTCGACTTCTGCAATTAACTTCTGACAGGCTGCCTCATCGCTTGCCTCCACATAGAGTCGCACCAGCGGTTCTGTACCACTTGGCCGCACAAATGCTCTTGCCGCGGATTGCGTAGCGGAGCTCGTAGCCATCACAGCGGCGTCAATCGCCTCCTGCATCCCTGGCGGTGTTAATGCCCGTCGCTCGTCTGGTGTATTTGTAATGACTTTTGGGTCTGGGACGATCACTTTGCCCTGCAGTGAGGGTCGATCCACGTAGAGGTGAAGCCAGTCTTTAAAGCTCATCTGTAATGCCAAGAGGGCGAGTTCACAGGCAAGGGCATCCGCAATTCCATCGCCACAGACTTGAGAAAGCAGCAAAGGCAAGTATTTTAATACCACCTCTGTTTCTGAGTTCATAGAACCAGATTCAAGTTTTGAACGAATACTCTTTTGGTTAAATAACACAGTTCCATGTCCATTCGATTCAAAATAGACTCCAATATCTCGTTTATGGGCAATTGAGTGAAGATGCTTTACACCTGTAGCCGAAGAATAAACATTTAATTTTAGTTGTTGCTCTAGGTAGTCGGTAGAAGCACCATTGGCGTACGCCGTCTGCACGACTCCTACATCAAGTGAATGAAGTACGTCTTTTCCAAGCCAATGCCGAAGGGCCATTGCATACAAAATAGAGATACGATCCCCATCCAGCAGATGCCAAACACCACCACTACTACCACTAGTAGTATGATCATGAAAAAAGGCCACAACACGATCAGCATCTCCATCTAAAGAGTAGTAATGAACTTCTTCCTTTTCTTCTCCATTTTCTTGATTTTTAGAATTTTGCTGCTCGTAAGCCATAGCCCATTTCGTCATTTCACTTGCTGGTGAACGTGTCTTTTGGGTAAAATCTGCACCACACATATGGTTAAGAGACTTACCTTGATCAAGAGAATCATTCACAATAATAATATCAAAATATTCATCTAATATACTAGATGATGATTCCTGTGATATTTGAATAAGAGACATTAAACCAAGTGCACCAACTCCATTTGCTGCATCCACTACAATTTTTTGACGTTTTCGCTTTCCCTGTGAGGGACTTACAAGTGTGGATAATAATACCTTTAGAGCTGAAAGAAGGTCACGCCAATAGAGAGATGGTCCAAAATCAGCAGAAAATGATAATTTTCCTCCTACAGATGGTTTATTGGCACGCTCCACCATATAATGAAGATGCGGAGTTGTGATTATACCATAATCGATTGATGATACATGAAGTGCTTGTAAAGAATTTTGTATCGCAGCGAGAATTTCCACTCCTGAACTTCGTGAGTCACGTGCGAGATGAATCACAGCGTGTGGACAGCGAGCTTCCAGTTCCTGCGGTGATGGAACACAGATATTGTTACTTGATACCCAATCCTCTAATATTTTGAGAAGCTCTTCAGCAGTTCTCGTATTAGCTACATCTGTACACACACCTTCCCATGTTTTCGTTAACATACCCCCATCAATATCAATCAACTTCATCCCATTATCAGGTTCAGGATTGTGAGAGGCTGTAATCATACAGCCAAGCGAACATCCAGCAGTGGTCTTTATATGTTGAATTGCCCACCAAACTCGAAGAACAGCCACAAAAGTCACTCGGGCCGCAACTGGGGGTAACACAGATCCTGTTGTTCGAAACCCGGCCGTACCATAACAGAGTGTAGTCGTAGGCGGAGTATGTTTGAGTGGGAAACGCACAACACAGTCTCGCACGGCATCCGCAAAATACGAAGGTAGCGCCATAGGAAAATATAACAATAATAATAATAATAATAATAATACTAATAATAATAAAAATAATACTATTTCTTCTATTTCGTTTTTTTTATATGTATTTGTGTAACTAAAAAGGACTTCGTACCACCACGAATTAAGATCAAAAGAAAAAGAAAGGCACAAACAGGAGATCAAAGAAGAAAAAGAAAAGAACAACAAAAAAAAAAATACATTGCAAAACACAAATATCTCAGAAAAAAGCACACATATTACCGGTTTCGTCTTCAGTAACCCTCCTCTCCATGCATAGTCACTTTTCTTCTTTTTTTTTTCTTTTTCTCCGTTATTCCCTCTGTCTCTATTCGTTATGGTTCCTTTCAAATACAAACTTCTGTGTCCTGTGGTTCCACACCCCACAGGACATCCATCATATCAAATGCATGCAGAAGAAAGCATTGAAAAAAGAAAAAAAAAAAACCAAAACCAAACAAATACAGAGAGAGAGAAAAAAGAAAAAAAAAAAAGAGAGAAAAGTGGTATCATTACAGATATATCGTCATTGGATTCTCTTTTCTTAACTTGACTCCTTCCTTCCATTCTTCCTCTGTCTTACCATCCTCCAGTCTCATTTATAATAGTGCAGTACCCGCAGCAATGATGATGATGATAATGATGATAATAGTAATAATGATAAAACCAATAAGTCCACTTGATCACTTTTATCTCTTTACTCCGTGGAGAGCTTAAATGTATACGTGTGGCATTTAAGGGGTTCAAGAAATATCTTTTCTATTTCTTTTCACTGCAATAGAGAAGCCTTGAAGGAGAAAAGAAATGAAGAGACTCCTTGCATGATACCATTTTTTGTAATATTGGTTCCTGGAACGATACAATAGGCAATCAGAGAATGAATATAAAGGAAGATATAATAGTAAAGAAGAACAGAACAGGTGATTTTGTTTACACTTAAGGTAACTATTTTTTTTTTCTTTTAAAAACGCTTATTTCTTATATTTTTCTTATTTTCTTCTTCAATTTCTACCCATCAGTTTTCATGTTTCTTTTCCCTCATTTTTTTTTCGTGCGTGTATCCCAAATTCAGGGATGTACAAGATACTCTGTCCTCTTCAGAAAACTACCAAGCAAGTATGTATATGTATGTATGTATATGTACATCTGACCAAAGTCATCGACTGTTGCAGCGAATATGCGCAAAGAAAAACTGTATGGGGGAAGCAGAATAGGACGATGGGTTTAAGGATTATGGCAGCGGGGGGTAGTGGTGACAATGGTAAGGCAAGAAGTTGCAGTACACCAAAAAAAGAAATGTATACGAACATGCCATACAAGAAAAAAAAAAGAGAAAGTGTATCCAAGACAAAACAAAACCAGAGTACAACCCAGTGAAAACTAGTTTTTTTTTTTTCTTCTTTTCTCTTTCATACAAAGACATACACTTTTTCTTTCTCCTTCTTCTGTCTTACAACATTACATAAACAGACGCAGAAGACACTGACACATACACACACAAACACATATACTTGCACAGAGGCAAAAAAAAAAGAAAAATACTAGCAGCGAAGGATCTGATATTCTATAGCTTAATACGTAACATTTATTCAGTTTTTTTTTTTTTTTTCTTTCTATATTCTTTGAAAAGCTTTACTCTGTAATATTCTGTAGACACGATGGTAGTAAATAAATAAAAAATAATCGTGTCTTGAGAAGAAATTCAAATCATTTTTCCAAGATCAATTCAGCATCCTTTAGTGCAAACCCATATGCATTGTTGTAGTGGGTGCAAGCGACGGTGGACCACTATTGTTACTTCCAGTGCTTCTATTACCCATGGAACCAAGTTGAAGTTGCTGGTTTACAGAAGACAATGTCGGTGCGCCTGAATTCGGGGGTATTCTCAGAGTTGTGGGGGCATTCACTGCTGAAGCAGGAGGTGTAGGTACAATATTAAGGCTCCCAACACGACTTTGGTCTAGCTTGGCGCAGAATGTTCGAGGATCGTTTAGGTATTCGGGAGGACAAAGTGCCAAGGGAATACAGAGGTACGTCTCAGTTGCCGCTGCTGCCATATCCCTGGAGCTTCCACTGTTATTGCTACTGGAGTTCCGGTTATCTGGTACCAAGAGAGTATTGTATGCTTGTTGTGGCATCTGTCGTGATGATGGGATGGAGTTCGGTGGTGGAGGCGGTGGAGGCGGCATTGTGTAGGATGTCTCTCCGGGGTGTGCCGTGAGGGGCGGGAGGCGGGCCCGTGCGTCGCTCCTGCCGGTTCCCCGGTCGCTGCCGCGTGGCTCCCCGCGCCTGTAGCCACCGCGACGCGAGTAATCTGACTCGGAGGAGGAGCCGGAGGCGGAGGAGGAGGGCGAGAGGGAGCGGGAGCGGGAGCGCCGACGACCGGGGCGGGAGGGGCGGGAGGGGCCGCGGCTGCGTGCCTTCTCCACCGTCAACTTGACGCCCTTCAGAACATGCGGTTCCTGCCGCTCAAGACGCTGCGGGGGGCTGCGGAAGATCACCCAGCCGTAGCCGCGGGAGTTGCCGGCCGCATCGCGCTTGAGGGAAAGGCTCTCCACGGGGCCAAAGCCGCCAAAGTACCGCTCGAGGTCCTGTTGTGTGATGTGCCGCTGCACGCCGCCCACAAAGTAGCGGGTGTCCGGGGCGGCGTGCGAGGCTCCGTCCGTCGAGGCGGCGGTGGGGTCCGAGACGCGCATCACACGTGTGAAGTTCGGGGGTTCGCGGGAGGAGAATTGTACTGCCGGTGGAAGGAAGTACGATGGGCGTAGGGTGAGGAACAGGAGAACCCACGGGACACACTAAAGGTGGATCGGATCACAAAGAAAAAAAAAAACTGGTAGAAATGCTTTCAAAAGAAAAAAAAAAAAAAGAAAAGAATACCAAATGGACAACAAAGAAAGCAAAAAAAAAAAAAATTATGGTCCTTTAGATAAACATACCTTGGTTGTATCATACCCAACCAAATCAAAAAAACAAAAACAAGTTAAAATAAACAAATAAATAAATAATTTCGGAGGAAGAATTGGTCATACATCCCGATATTGAGATCAGACTCTTCTCGTCCCAGTCACGGATTCTTACACTCCATTTTCTTATTACCCCTAATAAAAGACACAATCCAGTCAATCATTTCTCATTCTTATCATTTGCTTTCTTAAGTTTTTTTTATTCTCTTCTTTTTTTACAATATCATCATAAACCTCGTTTTTTTCTTCTCAATATCTACCGTTTCTTTTTTTTCCTCATCTCATCTCAGTCTCACAACTCCATATATATATATATATATAGTCTATTCCCTTTGTAGTGGTATTACTGGTGAGAACCCCAATGAATTTGTTATACTCAACATCCAAAATGGGAAAAAAATAGAGAAAAAAAAAAGTTTGTGATTCATGAAGCATTGTAGAATTAAAAAAAAAAAATAAATAAATAAAAATAAAGAGGAAAAGGAAAAGGAAGCAAAACAAAATCAAAAAAAAAGGAAGAATAAACGGGAAAATGGGTAAAAACTATGAACATAGAGTCACATAAATGAAAATATATTGGTAGTCATAAATATATTTGGAGACAATCAGAATGGCGAGAACTCAGTTATTGTCCATATTGACACCAACAAAACAAAAGAACATAGAATGAAAAAAAAAGAAAAAGAAAAATCCTAGCCCTACTTCTACAATAAACAAGAACAGAAGAACAAAAAGAAAACCCTGTATTTAACCTCCACGATTTAAAAACCCCATCGTGTAAATAAAAAATAAATTGCATTTTCCCAGACAATTATTTATTTAAAACATCCTAAGAGCCGACAAAATAGAAGTGTGCTGAGAAGCCCCTTTTAACCCGCCTCCCGCTCGGGGGCGGAGAAGGTTGGGTTGGGTGGGCTTTTCAGAATCTTACGATTGGTTGAGTATAAGAATAGAAAGCGAACTCATTTTCATAAATGTTTACACCCCCAGTACAAGATTTGCTAAAAGACAGTAAGACTCAATCATTCTTTTTGCAAGCAGACAAGAAAGGAAAAAAAAAAATGAAAAGCATATTTTCCTTTGCTTTCCACTTCATTTGCATTACCTTACTTATTCATTAACAGGATGAATCATTGTGCCATCCATCTAATACCACACAGACAAGGTATACATATATATATACACATATACCACATTCTTCCTTTTTTTATTTATATTTTCTCGTATACACATGTCATTAAAACAATAAAAAAAAAAAAAA